AAGTGCAAAAATTATTTGGAAGCGCCACATTATATGTTTTCAAACACTCATTAATTTCATCAGGAGCTGTTCCTACAGGCAATGTTTGTCTGAAATCACCTGGTTACAATATCAATGCTCCACCAAAAAATCGATATCTCCACGAATATCTGTCAACGTCTTTTCACAGCTTCCAGTGACTTCTTGTTGGCCATAGTACACTCATTCCATACAATAAGAGAGAATTGCTGCAGCACTCTCGCCATTGCAAATATTTTTGAAATCTTGCATATAGGATTATCGTCAGCCTGCAAATTCAAGGGCAACTTAAGGGCAGAGTGCGCCGCGCAACAACCATCTAATAATGTGGCAGCGATGCCAGGCGAAGCCAATGCGATTCTACCTTGTGCTCGAATGGTGGCCAAAATAATTGAAATGACAAACGTCTTTCCGGTACCTCCAGCTGCATCCAAAAAGAACAGTTCACCATGTTGTTCTTCGATAGCTCGCAATATTTGGTCGTAAACCGTTCTTTGATTGATATTTAACTGTGGCTCATTGTTTTGCACAAACGCATTAAGCTCGGCATGATCATACTGTTGTTCACGCTCCAGTTCTTTGTTGAAAAGGTCGTGTATTTCACGATTAGGCGCTGTCATACCTAATTGAGCTAATGCTTTGCTTGCCATTATTAAGCAAAGGTCTTCAATAGCGATCAATGCTTCGTTGTTTCATTACTATTACTATTTCATTACTTTCCACGTTGGCATGAAGTTGTCTTTTATGATATTTGTGGCGCCAAAAGATGTCAATTAAAAACTCGAATTATACTTTCGTATATTGTTCAATAAATGATTAGACTCATTAAGACTCAATCCATTAAGTAATGTGCTCAATGGTTGTGGGGGGCTGCCCAATTCAGGCAATTTCACTTTACCACTCGCCCAGCAAATCCCACCTGCTTCACCTTTAAATTTGAATGCCTGAAAATGGTGACAACGGTTGTTCATTGGACCAATTATAATTTGCCTATGAGAAACGTAATCGGTGGTACTATTTTCCGGAACGCAACACCTTGTAGATTTTGTATATCACGACGTTAATTTGCAGTTGTTGTTGTATCATTGTTCCGTTGAACGGGACCTTGCTGTGCGTAGACGATTATTTTCATTTCGATGTGTAATGTCTTGGCTACTTTCACGGCTCCTTGAAGCCACAACTTGTAACGGCATTTAACTTTAAAAGCCACACAGGTTGGTTTAATTTTACGCAATTTTTTTAGAAAACAATTTTTCACACAAAATCTTATAAAAACCAAAATTCATTTTATGATAGATATTTTATAAAATGTTCTGTTCTACAGAATGACACAAAATCAAATCAAATAGGCGTTCAAATACACATTTTTAGATCAAATTTTAGATTTTTTATTAAATAATTTTTTTTTTTAGCCTTTTTATAGAAATGTAATAACTTTTGTAAAAAAACAATGCCACATACTCTGGCTGTCCTTTAAAAAAAAAACCCGCATGCAATTTGGTGCACGCAAACACACACTTTTTGACCAAATTTAAGATTTGTTTGATTAATTTTTAATACTTGAGGAAGCTATTTATAGAAAAGTACAAATTTGTTTGTGCAAAACTACAAATTTATAATATAGATTGATATAACTTTCGAGGGGGATAGAAAATTACCAGCAACAACAGCAAATATCTTGGGATTCATTTTTAGTATATACCGACCTTTTTTATACCCGTACTCAAAAAAGAGTTAAGGGGTATATTAGATTTGTGGTAAAAGTGGATGTGTGTAACGCAGAGAAGGAAACGTTTCCGACCCCATAAAGTATACATATTCTTGATCGGTACCAATAGCCGAGTCGATAGAGCCATGTCTGTCTGTCCGTCTGACCGTCTGTCCGTCTTATTTGACGCCTGGATCTCAGAGACTATAAAAGCTAGAGGAACCAAATTTTGTTTCCAGATTTATGTGATATCACACTGCTACAAGTGTATTTCAAAATTTCGCCCCGCCCCATTCCGCCCCCACAAAGGACGAAAATCTGTGGTAGGCACATTTTTAAAGGTACGATAAAACTAAAACGCATTATCGTAGAGAATGACCATATCTACCAGACTGCCGAATCTGAATCAGATCGGATCATAATTGCCCCCTCCTGCCAACGACCAAGCAACTCATTTTCCTTCTCGCTCGCACACTCTGCCGCGTTCAGTGCGCAAGCAACCCCTAGCGGAGGAGATGTAGAATCTAAATGGTACATGTATAATCTACATGTGTGATGTAGAATATACATAATATATGTAGATGTAGATAATAGATGTAGCAAAAAAATGTAAAATGTAAAATTTTTTTTTAATTCTAAAATTCTTAAAAATGATATGCCCAAAAATGTAAATACTGACTGAGTACGGGTATAAGTATAAGTCACACGTTCCTTCTCATTTTTTGTTGATCTGAGTACTGCTCTCCGTACAATCCCTAGAAAACAGTTTTTGCCCGAAAAATTGTCTTATCGGTTTCATACGAATATCAACCCTGATTCTGTTCGGAAGGTGTTTTTTTTGGATTTGAGTACTAGGCTTAAGCTGGGACCAGCTTACCAGCAATGCGTTACCTAAAAGTTGTTTTTCCACGTCTATCGCTGGCAAAAGTGAAATAAGGAGTATTTGATTGTCCCCAAATAAGAAAATTACTAAAAGACGATTGATTTCAAATATTTTATCTAAGAATGAAGAAGCACCTTGGAACTCATTCCGAATGGTAGTAACAAACTTTCTTGGAAACAGCAAGTCTGATGATTATGTTTATATCGTCCAAGAGCTATGCGTCTATCTAAAACCAAAAATGCATGCCAAGAAATATTTTTTTCGACTTTTCCTTAGTTTTAAAAGTCAAAATTTCGGAAAAATTATGAAATTTTAATTTGAAAGCTTAATATCTTCCAGGCGTTAAGTTGCAGCTACAAAGTGTCGAGGTGGGATTTATAGCTGCACTTGCCAGCTTTTCAGAACTGCAAAGTTCTATGTAATCAGATATAAGAAATCTAAGTTTTTTGAAAAATAGAAGCACTACCTCTGAAAAAACATGAAAAATAAAAGATTTAAAAAAAATTTAAAAAAAAACTAAACCATAAAAAACATAATTCTTTAAAAAATTGTAATTCCCGAAACCTATTAGAAAATGTCATTTTGGGCCACAGCGGAAATGTCGTGTTGACTAGTGTTATAATTGTTTAATTTTGATGAATTCCAAAACATTAAATGCATTTAGTAAGCATCGAAGCGCGCGGGTATGCTAGTAAGATATAATATCCATATAATTGTCCTTCATATATCTGCCTTAGTTAGATTTTATTTGTCTTCGTTATTTAAATATTTAATTTGGTTTTTTTGATAGAAAGATAGAATATTGATATCTTTTTCGACCGGCTAGCAACATACTAACGAATACCAGCAAATACAATTTTCCATTGATGGTGGTTGAAGCCAGTGTGAATCAATCACATCTATTATAAATTCCCACCATTCCCCACGGAATCGGCTCAGTCTGCAGAGGCTATAAATGTTCATGAATAATATCATATTTGGTCGATAAAAAATTTCGTAGATCTGAGTACTTACAAATACTATACAATTACAAAGATATTGCATGAGGAATAAAAACCCATTTAATTTTCATGGTATGGTCGCGCTGGGCTTGTACTTAAATTCTTTTTTGGGATATCCCTCGCCTCGGCTTTATTAATGCTTCGGCTCGCGCTGACCTCAAGCAAAACCAGTAATATTCTAGTGTTGTGTATATGTCAGAGAACGGCATCGGATGATTGCAAACATGATGCAATTTTACAAGGTTGTCCATTCCCTCTCTTTCGGGTCTTATTTATACTCACACACATCCAATTTATCACTCACACACATGCAATCACAGTGAAGTTTGTTCTTGTATTTGCAAAATAGGCCTCGAAAAGATAGAGCGGTGCGCGAGGGACAACCTTGTATAATTTCATCATGATTGCAAATACGTTTACACATAAAAAGAAACCGAATAAACTCGCTCAGCTTTAACGGATACACTTTTGAATGCGCACAACTTCGCTGTAGATTTTTAATCATTCAAGCTGGGCCTTCGTCTATTCTGGCTGAGTTTATTCATGCTCGTTCGTGCTTCATGCTTCGGCTCAGCAATGATCGTATTAATTATGAGTAAAGACGCAAATGAGTAAACTCAGCTCGTATGATTTTATTCAAGCGGTCGGCACGCAGCATGCACATGTGTTGAATTGCGTTTGTGTGCGTATATGCATGTATGCATATACTTTGCATGTATGTGTGTAAACCGGTTCTACGAAGTTGCGATTTGGGTGCGTAAGTAAGAATTCATCCGAACAAGGCGTTAGCCAGCAGGAGCAGAGTTTATTTAATGTTAATTATTTTCAGTGATTCTAAATAAGTTAAGCAAGAAACGCCTAAAGCAAGAAAGTGATCCGAGCGAAGCGTTTGCCAGCACGAGCTGAGATTATTCAACGCTGCGTATTTTTGATCGATTGCAAGTGTGTAAAAATCGATCACAATTTTTGGAAAAGTGCTGTCCCCACTGTACATATACCAGAGAACTGCAGAAATTTAGCTTATGATCTATAATTTATGTATTTAACTATTATTCACTTAATAATTTACTAAGCTGAATTGGGAGAAGGCCCCACTGTGCGCGGGTATCAGCTGAGCTGTATCGAGTTCGCTGGGCTCGTTGTTGACGAACAGACGATGCCGTCGGGAAGCGGGGTCGCGGTCAGGGATGCGGAATAGGCGAACAAACTCCGCGCGCTCCGTCTGTCTATGGGGCGTAATGAAAAACGCCGCCTTAGAACAGCTTTATAGTAGCTCATGCAAAATCTTCATATTTTATAGTCTTTGGTACTAGGCTTAACTCGATAGCTGAACTCACAAATAAAAATATCGATATTTTTGTACTTTGTTAAGATTAGATTTTTGCATCACTACATTTTTTTGCTTTCGTAGACAAAATTAATATGTTTGAAACAAATTTGGACGCCGCCTGATCCTATGTACATATAATATCATGGATGATAATGACTGTTTTTACAGTAAGTTTGACAATGATTGACACTAATTTCATTGTTTTGCAATAATGTTTACATTAAATTGTCCTTATATGCAGATGTACATAACGTAGGAACATGTACATTTACATACATATAGGCACATGAAAACAAGTAGATTGCCAGAAATTTTTGTGAACAATCCGTTATTCACAAAATAACTTTCATTCCCCTAGTTTATTCAGTGATTCAATTTTGTGTTTACATATATTCATAACCAAACAACAAAAAATAGCATGTTCGACTAGCCGCGTCCGTTTGTTTCAATACAAACTACTGCCTCAGTTCTGAAAGTATCTGAACAAAACTTTGTCGCTTCTTGCGCGTAACAGCCAATGTCGTACTTTTGATGTAGTTTCGTAAATATTGGGTAATATGCGGAGCTGCCACAGACCGAATTGAAAGTTGGAATGGAAATTTGTGGCACTCCCGATATAGTTTGCAGTAGAAATCAAATACCTACTGGTTTATGAAAACAAAAACTAGTGTAGGTGCCACAAGAATGATGTAAGTACGATTACCTTTGAAGGCCGCCACTTTAAAAGTGAGGAGCTAGATAGCTTAGAAATATAAATACGGACGCTGTTACATAAGTTTGGAAAAAAACTATATCCTTTGTAATTCCTATTCCTAATATAATCCCTAGTGACATTTTAAAATTACTTATTTTAGTTTCCAAAGAAAAGAAATATATTTTGTTCTTTTTTAGACGGTTTATCGTTGATGGACCCATCGCCCATTGATTATGAGCTTAATAACAGTGTTTTGGACGATATGTTAAACTCATCAGTACCGCATATTGATTCTTCGTTGGACTTGAGTGCATTGATACCTGAAGTTCACGGTGATATATTTTCTGGCTTGTATCACGGATCAAATCAACAAAGCCATGATTTAGATTATAATTTGGACACACTCTCGCCGTTCAATGGGCCGCTTGACTCTGCGAAACGAACTACTTCCACATCGTCTGCCGAGGATCCGGATAATTTCGAAGATTTTATTAGCTTTCTTAATGATGATAACGTTTCTAAGTTCAGATGCGATAATGTATTACGATATTCGAAAGAACGTAATACACCGTCTCCCACAGGAAGTTGTAGCAGCTCTAGCGGGAGCTCGACGAGTGGAGTACAGAGCGATATATCTGATGCATCACACAACAAAGCTCACGACCATATTGACGTTGAGTCAGCTATGCAGGCTGTTCACAAATTAAACTCGACAACTGATCAGACTAGTAGGAATTTTATTTTATCTGCAGTCGATATTTGTAAACAGCAAGAAACGCAATTTAATTCGAAGAAAGCTAACATTGGGCCCATTGCCTCAACTGTCACCAACATTGAGCCAATTAATATTGAATGGATGGATTCACGAACACAAAATTCTTCGCCTGCTGACGTACAAGGTTCCACGGCAAATGCTGTGAAACCGAAGACAATATTTCTCTCTTCTCATGACTACAAAGCGCTGATGCAAAAGATAAACTTGAACGGAAAAAAAAGTTATAAGGTTGGGGGCTGCAACTCTCAAATTCCTAATATGGTTATAAAAACAGTCAATTCAAAAACATCAAAAGCTTCGCACGATGAATTAAAACACCAACAGACAACAGATCCACAATGTGTAAATCGAATGTGTTATAATGGGAGCATGCATATAAAAGGAGGCGTAAAAACGGAAGCCTCTGATAGTGTGTCAATAGATGAAAAGATATATAAAAAACAGCAGCGTATGATTAAGAATCGGGAATCTGCCTCCTTATCCCGTAAAAAAAAGAAGGAGTACGTTGTGTCATTGGAGACTCGAATAACCAAACTTGAACGAGAAAACTATACGCTTAAAGGAGTAAGTAAGATTTACTGTACTATTAGCTAAATAAATGATATTTATACCCGGATATTTAAATCGAGTAGTTTAGGAATATGTTAGTTTTGTGTTCGAAGTGGTTGTGTTAACGCACAGAAGGAAACGTTTCGGACCCCATAAAGTACAGCTACGTTCACAGAAATAGTAGTGCCGCACCTCAAGACTGTTTTCGATACACTTCCAATATTCCAAATTGAACATGTGATCCCTTTCTGGAAAGCTGAAAATGCTTAGCTTATAACCTCGAAGAAATCTTGTTTCATTTGCATTACATCTCCTTTTTTTACATCACCTAAGAAAAATACCCATACAACCCTGTTGTTCATAGAAATAGTAGTGCTGAGTGTTAAAAATTTAACAAAAATAAAAAAACTAAAAATTTCTTTTTAAAAAGTCGGCATTATTAAGTTTATTTTATTGAATATTTTGATGAAAAAAAATATTTTGGGCATAAAGGTACTTTCGTGTTTGGAGCGTAAAAAAAATCATTGCTCGGTCCAGAAGAGACATAAGAGCCAGGTTAAAAACATAAGGCAGGAAGTATAATGGAATTGAAAACTAATTTGTATGCACTTTCACTATTGTACCTAACCCAATTAACTATAAATAGGTAGATTGAAAATCGATTTTTTATGCAAAAATCTTCTCTTTTCGGGGATGGTCGAAGATGGTTGAAGGCAAGCCTTCATTATCATTAAAAATTATGAAACAAATTTTATAGTCCCAAAAAGCTCCGGGTTATTTGGGTTAAAGAACACATGGGTGCACGACTCAAGTTAGCAAAAACGCATTCGGACTGGCCTGTGTCACAGTGATGAAAAATACTTTTGACTGATGATGGTAAAGTCCTATTATATGGTAAAATGAACTTCAGAGAATATATTTGAAATCCACAGAAATCCGATAACCAAACAAAATCATGGAAAGAAATAGCATTAGGCATGCTGTGCTGAGCACTATGGGGCCCAACACATATGAACTAGTACCTTAAAGTCTGTCGTTGGAGTGTTGAAAAAAAATGTGTATGTAAACATACTTTAGAATACATTACATACATAATACAGTTGAAAAATCATCAGGATATTGATATAAAACACTCACAAAAGCTAGCTAGGAATTGGGTTTCATCCGAAAATATTTTGGACATGTCCAGTCCCTGGATCTCAATCTCATCGAAAACTTATGGGGTAATGACAAATACATTGTAGCAACTTCAAATACGTCAACACGAGCATAGTTTTGGGAAGTGGTTCATGCTTAAATTCTATTGATCCATGCCCGGCCGGTACTAAAAGCTTAATATTAAACCCCAAGAAATATGTAGAACATGTAACATTGATTTTAATTTGAGTTTCGATGATTTGTTAGATTTTCTTAAAAAACACTACTTTCAGCAGATTTTATGGGTATTTGTCTAAGGTCATTTAAAAAAAGAAGATTTAAGCTATCCAAAAAGGAATCACATTTAATACTGGAAGTGTCTCAAAAGCATATGAACGAGGTTCACGAGGAAGAGTGTGTGAGAGAAAGCAAGAATAAGTAAACAGGTGGAAGTGGGTAGCGTAGCAACTGCGGATTTATGTTTTCATTCTGGCTACAATAATAGTCCGATCTGAACCAGATTCGACAATCTGGTAGATATATGGAGAATGTCACCGATTTTGGTCCTTTGTGTGGATGGGGCAAATACACTTGTAGCAATGTGATATTACATGAGTCAAGATACATACAAGATATGGTTAGTCTAGATCTTATAGTCTCTGAGAACTAGGCGCTCATCAAGACTGATAGATGGACGGCCAGACAGCTATATCGCTATATGGCTATATCGACTCGGCTATTTATACTTTATGGGGTCGGAAACGTTTCCTTCTCTACGTTTTACACATCCACTTTTACCACAAATCTAATATACCCCTTAACTCTTTTTTGAGTACGGGTATAAAAATTGAATTCGTCGGTTTTTTCAAATAATATTGAAACTTAGAAACTAGTTCATATTGATAATAAGGTATATTTATTTTTTTTTTTAGTTACTGTTAAAAAATTAACGATTGGTGAAAATCAAGAATTTTAGCTGAGGTTAATATATTTAGTTAACTAGTTCGCAAAAACTTGTGCAGGTTTTTTACTGCCAATAACTGATTAATGACGATATGAAAAAAAAATTTTTTTTGGCCCAGCCTAATATACATACATATATACCGTCTGAGTCCCAAGTATGAAAGTAGAGCTTACAACGTTCCCGCTCGTTTAATTTACCATAATATTTTAATGTGGAATAAATGTCCTCAGTTTTTCAGAAATTGTGCCATTAATTAATGTTGTAATAAGTGCAAAGAATTAAATCACATCTTTTTAAAGTAATTTTTTCAAATATAAATTGTTACATTATTCCAGTTATTTTTCTCGGTTCCGTACAACACATTAATGAACAGCTAGACACGAAATACATGGTAGAGCAAAGTAAAGCATAAAAATGGATCACGCCGACGTTCAAAGCATTGTAGAGAGGGCTGTCGCCACAGCTTTAGCGGGACAGAGCACTGAACTGAGCAGAATTAAATTAGAGTTACAGGCCTTAGACGTGCAGAACGTGCTAATTAAGCAGCAAATCGATTTAGCGGCTGCAACTATAAGTATAAATATATCAGGGGAGGTCCCCAAAATAAACTTATTTCAGAATATTTAAATTACAAATTCAGACTGTCCTGTCCTCTGTCCTGGCATCATTTAATACGGTTCTTAAATTTGAAGCAATTATTAGCAGATTGGACTTCACATATGCGAACAATCGCCCGCTGCAGGCGGCCTGAGAAGGAACCTCACAGACGTTCTGTTTACAGCTCATCCGCCTGATTTTCCATCTGCGCTGGCTTTGGCTCAGGAGGTAGAATGAAACCATGAGCGCTACGCCTATTCGGCTAACTATGCAAAGAGCATTGAAGAGAAGAATAAACCAAACCAAGGCGAACCGATGGATGTATACCAGTATACCGGCAGCGCCGTAGGCACTGTGCATAGGAAAAAATTTCGGGCAGCGCAGTCGGCACACGTACAGGGTAAAGACTTCGTGTGGTTTCGTTATTCTGCGCTGCTGACGTAGCGGCAGAAAAAATTCTACCTCACTGACGTAGCGGCAGAGAAACATGCTTCGGGCTATGCACAAACGGCATCATATTCTGCTCACTTGCCTCAGCGGCAGAGAAGCATTCGTGTGCCCTATGCACAATTATTCGGCTTTCGCAGCGGCAGAGAAATAAGTAACGTATTTGACTTCGTGTCTGTTGTCTTCGCACACAAACGCACCAAAAAAATGTGTGAGCCTGTGTGCCGACCCTGATGTATACCCATCTTTATCGAAACTTCGAAAGCCTACTAGTTATCAGAAGAATCAAAGTTAATAATGTAACCCAAAAAAGCCGTGACCCAGATCCGACCGCCCACAATGCCGTAGCTGAAGAGGCCGTGCAGAAAATGACGCAGAAGGAAGTGGCCGCACGAAAGCGAGCAAGTGAATTTTTTAGATAGCGCTCCGGCTACCGTTTGTCGAGCGGAAGCAAGCTGGGCGAACACTAAGATTCTTGGTTGACACAGGAGCGGCTAAAAACTACGTCAAACCCGTAAAAGAGTTAAAAGGCGTGGTACCAGTCGAATCCCCTTTCCCTGTGAGCTCAGTCCAAGATTCAAACGAAATTAAGCAAAAATGTCTGATCAATATTTTCGGCAAAACGTCCCAATTTTTATACCCGTACTCAAAAAAAATTAAGGTTATTGTATTTGTGATAAATGTGGGTGGATGTGTGTAACGCAGAGAAGGAAACGTTTCCGACTCCATAAAGTATATATATTCTTGATCAGCATCAATAGCCGGTCGATATAGCCATGTCTGTCTGTCTGTCTGTGCGTCTTGTTGAGGGCCTAGATCTCAGAGACTATAAGAGCTATAGCAACAGACTCATGTGATATCACACTGCTACAAGTGTATTTCAAAATTTCGCCTTGCCCCCTTCCGCCCCCACAAAGAAGGAAAATCTGTGGCAGGCTCAATTTTTAAAGATACGATAAAACTAAAAACGTAGTATCGTAGAGAATGCCCATATCTACCAGATTGCCGAATCTGAATTAGATCGGATCATAATTATAGCCAGAAGGAGAAAAAATAGGTTCAGTTGCTTCCCCCGCTTCCTCCGGCAAGAGACCACCACGCGACCGCCCGCTAGTGGAGGAAATGTAGAATATACATAGTAGATATAGATGTAGATAACAGATGTAGCAAAAAAATGTAAAATATTGTATTAAATTCTAAAATTCTAAAAAATCATAAGCTCACAAATATATATACTGACTGAGTACGGGTATAAGTAGGGTCGCGTCCCCAGAAGCGACTCACACGCTCCTTCTCGTTCTTGTTGAGTACGCTAACGCTGTTTGACGGTATTATAGGCTTTGATCTGCTAACGCAGGTTGGTGCAAAGTTAGACGCAGGAATGAATAAGATAAAATATGGTACAACGTCTAAAAGCCTGACGTACCACACCTGCGAAGACGTTAACTTTACAAACGTCAACGACATACAAGTACACAACGCCGTAAAAGCATCTTCATTTCATTTCGTTCATTTTTTTCATATTTTAGGTTTGGTTAACGAATTTTAGCTCCAAAGTCTCTCCAAAGATTTTAATGAGCGATACCTTAAACGACGCCAAATTAACGCACCTATACACAAAAAAATAGAGGACACAAGATATAATTTTTTTTCGACTTTTCCTGAGTTTTTAAAGTCAAAATTTCGTAACAAATACCGCACAAAAATCATCATTTTTGCATTTCAATGCTTTATATTTCCCAGACGGTAAGCTGAAATCACAAAGTATTTGGGCTTAACTTCTAGCTGTTTTAATTACCTTTTCAAAATAGCAAAGTTCTTTACAACCAGACGTAAGATACTAGAGCTATGTGAAAAAAACAAGCGCTACCTCTGAAAAAAGCTTAAAAAAAAATACCAGTTTTCTAAAATTCTTCAAAAAAAAGTTCTGCCATAGAAAAAAAAAAAATATCATCAAACCATTTCTAAGCCCCAAATCTTTAAGAAAAAGTTCGTTTTGTTCCTTGAGGAAAAATCGTGTTGACTAGTGTTATCAACAGAATGAATGCTTTTACAGGCACAAACGAACTTCTACCGTTTAACACTACGGTCGTGGCAACGATCCGCTCCGAGAACAACGAGCCCACAACTCCCGTTGGGAGTAGCAGAGTTTGTCAGTAACGAAATAAAATCGTTGCTTAATAACGAAATTATAAGCCCTTCAAGATCCCCTTATAACAATCTCACCTGGGTAGTAGATAAAAAAGGCCGTGTGGTTATTGACTTTAGAAAGTTAAACGAATAAACTGTAGCCGAACTTGGGAAACGCCAGGTATTTCACGACTCAGATCTAAAGTCAGGGTACCACCAGATAGTCCTGGCAGAACAAGGTCGTGAAATTCGGTAAATGGTGGCAAATATAAGTACTGTCGGTTACCATTTGGTTAAAAAAACGTCGGGAGCATATTCCAAAAAACGATTGATGACGTTTTGCGCGAGCAAATAGGCAAGACTTGTTATGTTTACTTCGACCATTTTAGCCACATAGATTGGGTACTAAAGAGTTTAATTGAAGCCAACATGAAGGTTTCTAGAGAAAACACAATTTTTTAAGATCTGGCATTTATAGTCACCAGACGTTGAGCGAAAACAGGCCCCGAAAAAGTCAAAGCCATTCAAGATCCTTTTTAGTGTTGGCTAGCTACAGGTGTTTCGTAAAAGATTTCGCCTCTATAGCAAAGCTACTTACGGAAATCCTAAAGGGCGAGAACGGTTCCCATTCATTTTAGCACCAAGAAGCGCGACACGTTTGAAAAAATGAGAAACGTTTTGGCATCCGAAGATGTCATGCCTATGTATCCCGATTATAAGAAACCGTTTCATCTAACGACAAAAAATGCTTCTGCAAATGGAATTGGTTCTGTACTATCCCAAGTTGGTAAGCCTATAACAATGATCTCAAGGACATTGAAGGACAATGAAAAAACTTTGCCACTAACGAAAGGGAGCTTTTAGCCATAGTATGTGCCTTAGGCAAGCTTCGACAATATTTGTGCGCCACTAAAGACATTAATATCTTTACCGATCACCAGCATCTAACTTTTGCCGCATCCGACAGGAATCCAAACGCAAAAATCAAACGCTGGAAAGCGTTTATCGATGAGCATAAGCCAAAATCCACTATAAGTCCGGCGAAGAAAACCTTCTTGCAGATGCGCTTTCGCGACAAAACGTGCACGCCTAATAGATTTCGGGATTTAAAATTTTTTAACGAATTATGATTTTTTTTTATGGTTTAGTTTTTTTAAAATTTTTACAAATCTGTAATTTTTTTCAGAGGTAGTGTTTCTATTTTTCACATAGCTTAAGTATCTTATATCTGGTTGCATAGAACGTTGCAGTTCTGAAAAGCTAACAAATGCAGATATAAATCCGACTTTTTCTGAGGTTTTAAAGTAAAAATTTCGGGAAAAAATACCGCAACAATATATGAAATTCTGAATTTGAAAGCTTAATATCTTCCAGGAGTTAACCTGCAGCTAAAAAGTGTCTGGGTCGCATTTATAGCTGCAGCGTTCAGCTTTTTAGAACTGCAAGGAACTTTGAAACCAGATCTAAGATACTTAAGTTATGTGAAAAATAGAAGCACTACCTCTAAAAGAAAATGCTTTAAAAAAAACTAAACCATAAAAAAACCTAGATTGTACTATACAAATTTTTAAATCTCGAAATCCATCAGAAAAAGTCATTTTGGTCCACAGCGGGTTCGCTTTCGAGTAATGTTATTTTTCAAATGACTGTATTACCCCCATATTTTGCAATTGTACCCAAAGAAAAAACAATTTTTTTCTAAACTGAATTCATTCTTTTAAAGTACTATATTTTTTGAGTTCCTTATGGTCCTCTTTCTTAAATAGCAACAAAAGATTTCAAAATTTTTGGTTTAAAACAAAGTTGGCTCTTAATGAGTTAACCACAAATCTAACTAATTAACTTTTTGAGTACGGGTGTAAAAAGTGTCTGGATTTATTTTGATAGCTGTTATTTTCTTCTTTTTTCTACAGGATAACACAACACTGCGCACCCAGTTAGTCACGTTGGCCAAAACATGCAAATGCCGCACCGGCAACTCAAGTGAAATTGTACTTCATTCTTTAAGTTCTGCTGCGGTGAGGAGTGAGCCCCACCACGTAAAGATCGCACCTAAGCCAAAATTTTTAAAACGGAAAATCAATGCAGCCACTGTAAAAAAAAATGTGGCGGTGTTATTTGCTATGGCTTTTATGGTAACTATGAATGCTGGGAGTTTTCAGTCATTTCTTACCAAGCAAAGCGTTGATGACGATGGTGGAAATCTAGATAATGTTGTGCCGGACCCTACGGTTGTTGGTCGTCGTCTACTTTGGGTAGAAACTGAAGAAGAGTATAACGACAAAGTTAACCAGAATAAGAGTCAATCGGATGAAATGTCAGTTCCCCCTCTGCATTTTCTAGGTCCGGTTAGGCGTAACATTACTGTTAGCTCAGATAAAAACAATTCTAAAAATACATCAACAAACTATTTTGGCAACGAACCGCCACCACTGGCGTACTCATCTCTAAAAAAGTGCAATGGTGATTGCAATTCTTCTAATTCTGCAGTTAACCAGTCTGACTATTTCCGAATCGCTCAGAATTTGCAAAAATGGGCTAACAGCAATGACTTTTTTAATTTAAACATGTCTTCGGGCTTTACTTCTGAGAAAAACAACCCACACGGGTTTAAATTATCGAAAGACTACATTGAGTTGAAACCTGAAGTCCAAAGTCCACAACACCAGGGAAAACGTAAAATCTACATGGATATGAACGATTATAGTCCTGATGTTGAGGATAAACGACGAAGGAAAATAAATTCTAGTATAAATAGAGCATTTAACAATAAAAAGGAACACATCCCATTGTTTAATGGCATAAAAAGAAAAGATGATACATTTTATGTGCTTTCTTTTAACACGGATCACATACTACTTCCAGCATCCAAATATAATAACAGTAAGCGACCTAAAATGTCATTACTATTGCCTACAGGAGATCCCACCAGCAACGGCGACATTATGTTAATGCAAGTGGACTGTGAAGTATTTAATACAAAGGAACTGGAGCTAAAGGCTCATATGATTCCTACCAGGCTCCGACCTAATGTTACTAACTGGCATCCCAATACGCCAAAATTCGACAGCGCAGTTAATGAATCACAAAGTAATAAAAATGTTGATAGAATACCCGTGAAGTATGATAAACCTCGGGTGCATACTTTCTTTATGGTTGGTCCAAAAAACCAAGCTGCTGCTGCTGTATCACAGGAGAAGCCACGTTTGGTGCAATTTAACCACAGTGTCGCTAATAATAGTAGACAAATGTCAAATACCCGAAAACGTGAATCGCTGCGAGAAAAATTAGAACCGTAATTTTTTTTTACAAGTTCAGTTCAGATTAAAAATCCGAAATAGGGGTACTTGTAAATTAAATGTAGTTTATTGTGACGGACCTACTCTTGCATAATAAATTTAAACTTTAATAATTTTTATGATTACACATCAATATTTGGTCTCGTGACTTTGGTACAACAATTTTTGAAATACTAAAACTAAATATGAGTAATCTTAACCGTATAATAAGAAATTAAAAAATCATTCCTGGCAAGCTATCCTAAGTAGTATTATACATATCTGTCTTTTTACTATAGCAAGTATAATATTTTTCATAATGTTTTAAAAGAAAAGTGTGTATCGTCTTTTTGTTAAGTTTTTACACTAACGCTGCATAAAAAAGTAAACTGTAAAACCTTTGATCTTAAATTATTAAATTAAGCTATTATTTCCTAAAATAAATAGCTCAAATCTCATCTTCATCGAAATACATCTACTATGTAGATTCTACATCTCCTCCGCCAGTGGACGCACGAGACAAGTGCTTACACAGTGTGTGAGCGATAGAGAGAATGAGTTAGCGCTGCAGAAATGGAAGGTGCAAAATTAATACCCTCATTCTGGCTATAAAAATCTGATCTGATCAAAATTCAGCAATCTAGTAAAAAATGCGGTTTCCGTTTTTTTGTATCTTCAAAATTGTGGATGCCACAGATTTTTGTTATATGTGAAGGCGTTAGGGGGCGTTGAAAAAGTTTGAAACAAACTTGATGCAGTGTGATAAGTCTGGAAAAAAATGTTATTGCTCTAGCTCTTATAGTCTCTGAGGACAAGGAGTCAAACAAGACGGACAGACAGACTGGCTATATCGACTCTGCTATTGATGCTGATCAAGAATATATATACATTATGGGGTCAGAAACGATTCCTTCTCTGCGTTACACACATCCACTTTTACCACAAATCTAATATGTAAACCCCTTGAATCTACGAGAACGGGTCTATCGAAAAACTCTTTCGCTATCGCCTTACTATAAGATTAGCTTGATTTTAGGCACGCTGCGATCGGTTGTGCAGTTCATGTCAAGCTGTTCGGTTGTTCACCGGATGTCAACCTCTACGTGTCTCAGTGACTCTAAAACAAGTGCGTCTTTTGAAGACACACAATGGCTTCTTTCTGATGGAAAGTGGAATCCATGCTAGGGATAGCACGGAGAACTGGAAAGGCTTTCGGCAAGGAGAGGATTGGCGACCTCATTCTGGAGGAGTTAAACTTGCGACTTAAGTCGCTCACGGATCTGGTCGCTTCATTCAACGAGAATCCTAATGCCCTGGAAAGAATCGATCTCGATGAGATCGGTAGTCCCTCGAGAGACGAGTTTGACGAGTGCGTGGTCATTTGTAGAGATTAGTATGTATTCTTGCTCAACAATCTTCTCAATTGGAGAAGCCCCAGCTATGGTCATAGTGCAGAGTCGGCCTCACCTGCCGGAATTTAAGCTTGTGGGTGCTGAGCGCAGTATGCCGCGTTTTGGGACTTGTTTGCCTCTATAATTGACAAGAATTCTGAACTAACGAATGTGGAGAAGCTGAAGCACCGATCTCATGATCTCTTCGCTAGAATTCAACCACGCCAGCTATCCCATGGCCCCAGACATTCTTAAACGTTTCAATAACAAGCGTCTAATATTTCAAGCACATGTCACTGACATTCTGGGTGTGCAGCGTATTGAGGCCTATGTCGATGTCCCAACTCTGGTCCTTGTCAGATACCGTAAATGCCAATCTGCGGGCTTTGCAGAATGTGGGGACAACGGAGCAGATTGCTGACTGCATTCTGATGCATTCTGCAACAGAAAGTGGACAGCGCCACACAAACCAAGTGGGAGGAATGATCGTCAATGGACAGTATACTCACAAGCCAGCAATTTACTGCTTTTCTGGAGAAGAGATGCCAGAGGTTGGCGACTCAGGAGCACGCTAAAGACATGTACACCAATAGCAACCGGAAACACCGCCTACTTCGGCTTCGGCTTCAGGAAGCTAAGAAGCTATTGCTATGCACCATGTGACGGCGCTTCGGCCGGGGTATGCTCGCCGCGCCGTGTTCACAGATATTTGTTAGGTTTCTGGCTGTGTTAGCTGAAAGAGATACCTCTGTTAAAGAAGAAAGCTAGGGTTAAGTAGTAAAGAAAAGGGTTTTTTATTGGACTTAATCGCACAGAGTTGGAAATAGGCTGGATCGTGGTGACTCGTCTTCCTTCCATGTCTCTGAAGAAAAGAGAGATGGAACCGTTATTTGATCTCTTTGTTGTTCTACCCGGTAGTCTTAGTTCCCTGCCGAATAGCAAGTATGCCGGGCTGTACCCTGTTGACTCTGATTGGCTGCTGTTGATTGCTAACGTGAATTTCGGTAATTGTTCGTCCCATTTGTTGTGTTTTCCTGCCGCAAATTGTGCGATCATTGTCTTCAGTATTCTGTTTGCCCTCTCGGTTGGGTTTTCTTGTGGTGTGTAAGATGCCGTGAATATATGCGTTATTCCCGACGTTTTCATTAGCCGTCTTTCTACTTGTGATTTGTACACCGTTGTCTGAGATCAGCTGTTTTGGTGCTACTCCGCTTGCTAGGATTTGCTTCAGCGTTGTTGGTGCTGCCAATACTTTGTGTTGTATTGTTTGTTTATTGTATTTCCTAGCGCTACAAGCAAGGGGCTTATAATTAGAGCATTAGTCACTAGGTGTCACATTAGTTTGGTATTAAACTTAGAGCTAAATGAATCTACTAATTACATAACTCGACAAAATCTAACCTTTTTTTCTTCAAGGATCCAAACCGACTTTTTCTTATAGATATGGGACTTTAAAAGATAATTAAAACAGCTAGAACTTAAGCCCAAACACTTTCAGGGGTGCCACAGAAATCAATTTCGCTGGAAAATCACCTCAATTCCATTCCGCCGTGCCACACACCGATTTTTCAGCGGAATCAAAATCGCTCACAATTTATCCAGCGCTTTGATTAAATACACCCAAAAAACACACCTAAAACGATTCGAATCATACTTTCCCATAAAGGTTGTTAAATTGGTGGTTAACCCTCATCCAAATAATTTATTATTACACATGTTGAGTTAATGAAATAAGCATTTTAGTAAATCACTATTCAATCCGCTGACTGAATTTTCACTTAACGATTCCGCTCTCAATCCGCTGCAGAGCGAGGTGGCCACTTAGGGCGATTCGGACTTTCGAAGTTAATACAGTAATTATATTGAATGCATTTCTTTAATTAAGCATATCAAAAAAATAGCTCATTGTAGTAAAACTTCCTTTAGGTCAAACGTGTGCATACTTTTTGTCCAAATTGTGAAAACATTTGTAGTCATTTGTAGTTCTACCAGGTGGCATCGCTTCAAAATGCCAAAACAAAGCTACCAAACCATTTCTACACATTATTGCCATTGCATTTATTTCAAAAACCCCTGTTTGGCTAAGCGCAGACCCATGGCAGCACAAATATAAGCATAGCGATCATTATATCAAAAACTGGTAATTGTAATGAACTAAATTAGCAGTAGTTTGAGAAGACAATCACAACAAGAAGGAACGTGCGAGTCGCTTCTGGGGACGCGACTCTACTTATACCCGTACTCTGTCAGCATATACATTTTTGAGCATATGATTTTTTAGAATTTTAGAATTAAAAAAAAAATTTTTACATGTTACATTTTTTTGCTACATCTGTTATCTACATCTACATATATTATGTATATTCTAAATCTAACATGTAAATTCCATTTAGATTCTACATCTCCTCCGCTAGGGGTTGCTCGCGCACTGAACGCGGCAGAGTGTGCGAGCGAGAAGGAAAATGAGTTGCATGGTCGTTGGCAGGAGGGGGCAGGGGAAGCAACTGAATATTAATTTCTTCATTCTGGCTATAATTATGATCCGATCTAATTCAGACTCGGCAATCTGGTAGATATGGTCATTCTCTACGATAACACTACTCGACAAAATCGAACTTTTTTTTCCTCAGGGATCCAAACCGACTTTTTCTGATAGATATGGGGATTTAAAATTTTTTAAAGAATTATGGTTTTTTTTTCTATGGCAGAACTTTTTTTTGAAAAATTTTTGAAGTCTGGTATTTTTTTTTTAAGCTTTTTTTAGAGGTAGCGCTTGTTTTTTTCACATAGCTCTAGTATCTTACGTCTGGTTGTAAAGAACTTTGCTATTTTGAAAAGATAATTAAAACAGCTAGAAGTTAAGCCCAAACACTTTGTGATTACAGCTTACCGTCTGGGAAATATAAAGCATTGAAATGCAAAAATGATGATTTTTGTGCGGTATTTTTCACGAAATTTTGACTTTAAAAACTCAGGAAAAGTCGAAAAAAAATTATATCTTGTGTCCTCTATTTTTTTGTGTATATCCCAATTGGCAGTTGGGCCCGCAACCTTCCAAAAGCTATTTTTTGTTCATTTTTTCCATATTTTAGGTTTGGTTAACGAATTTTAGCTCCAAAGTCTCTCGATAGATTTTAATGAGCGATACCTTAAACGACGCCAAATTAACGCACCTATACAAGAAAAAATAGAGAACACAAGATATAATTTTTTTTCGACTTTTCCTGAGTTTTTAAAGTCAAAATTTCGTAAAAAATACCGCACAAAAATCATCATTTTTGCATTTCAATGCTTTATATTTCCCAGACGGTAAGCTAAAATCACAAAGTATTTGGGCTTAACTTCTAGCTGTTTTAATTACCTTTTCAAAATAGCAAAGTTCTTTACAACCAGACATAAGATACTAGAGCTATGTGAAAAAAGCAAGCGCTACCTCTGAAAAAAGCTTAAAAAAAAATACCAGTTTTCAAAAACTCTTAAAAAAAAAGTTCTGCCATAGAAAAAAAAAAAATATCATCAAACCATTTCTAAGCCCCAAATCTTTAAGAAAAAGTTCGTTTTGTTCCTTGAGGAAAAATCGTGTTGACTAGTGTAATGCGTTTTTAGTTTTATCGTATCTTTAGAAATGAGCCTGCCACAGATTTTCGTCCTTTGTGTGGGCGGAAGGGGGCGGGGCGAAATTTTGAAATACACTTGTAGTAGTGTGATATCACATGAGTCTGGAAACCAAATTTGGTTGCCCTAGCTCTTATAGTCTCTGAGATATAGGCGCTCAACAAGACGGACAGACAGACAGACAGACGGACAGACAGACAGACGGACAGACAGACATGGCTATATCGACTCGGCTATTGATGCTGATCAAGAATATATATACTTTATGGGGTCGGAAACGTTTCCTTCTCTGCGTTACACACATCCACTTTTACCACAAATCTAATATACCCTTTAACTGTTTTTTGAGTACGGGTATAAAAACCACATACGTATCGTCTGAACGATGCGCATCTGAGAAGCCTGCGCTGCAA